CTTGTAAATTTTTGGACATTCTTGCCATTATACAAATTAATTTCATTTCAACCATGGAGGTTCTTCCACTTTGCTGTTAACATGTGTTTACATGTACTTTGGAGTTGTGGTGATTTTCAACCGACTAGATACTAGTAACAAATCTTCAAAATCCACTACCCACTCAAAAACTGCCAGTCAGCACTGCGACATTATGAGGCATGTGCCTGTGCAGTTTATGACACCTATTACCAGAGGTGTCCAATCAAATGGGTGAATCTGGGTGAATTTTCCATTGTAATCGGGTGCAAAGTAAACACCGGAAAATTCACCCATTCCTTGCATAATCTGGTCATAATGCACAAAATTTCACCCATTGCAAAGAAAACAACAAATGGGTGATTTTTATTGAGAACAATGGAAATCACCCAAAAGTACGCAGATTCGCGCAAAAAAACCCGTGGCCAGTGCTTATTCACCCGTTCTGGATTTGGTAGTGTCAAGTAAAGGATTTGTCATGCAGATCAGCTTTTCCAAGCAAACCAAAATGGGTGTTTCTGGCCTTGAATACAATTGACTTACCGTTTTCTGGTTCACTAGCAACCTATCAAAGTTTTTGAATAAAGTCTATACCATGTTGATGAGTTGGCTGCATCGTTTATTGACTAGTTAATGATGCAATTTCAGGAGAGAGTAGAGAAGAAAATCAGTAAAAGACTGTCCAAAGTAATTTTACATCAAAAATGATCAACTGAAAAGTTCTTCTGTAATATCAATTGAAAAATTGACTTCTCTAATTTTTACCACATTTTTTTTTACCAAAACAACTTTTAGAAAGATTGTTTTGTTAGTGTACATTTGTACAATTTTCATCACACAAAAAGTTGCACATGCCTGGCAAACAATATGGTTGGACTTGCCTCATATTTTGGGGCATCATTTCTTGTTCCTAAACAGGAAGGGTAATGACTGTGTATCCATGACTGTGACTATTTTTGTGTTCCCTGCTGCGGTGAGTTATGAGAAGACATGTTGGTGGAATGGCAGTTTTGCTGCGTGGAATAAAGTGCCTCGGTCTTGTCATAACTTGTACATCCACTGGTCCATATCTTAAGCACAAGTTTACTGAAATGTCTAGCGGGGGTGTACCACAAGTTCATGGGGGGATATACCATACTTTTTCTGACACGTTTATTCACGATTCAAGATGGCTTAATTGGTCAGTTGCAGTTACAATGTGAATTCCAGAACATCAAAAGTCATCTTACACCAGGTGTGGAATAGAGAGACTAATAGAGAAACAGTTCACAGGAAATATCATTATGCAGATTGATGATGGTGATGATGATGATGATTGGTTTATTGAAAGAAACTCAACACAATCTGACATTTAGTTTGTAGCAGTCAGGATCATTATACATATTGATATATCTTTAACTTTTTAAGTTTAATAAGAAAGGATCTTTCAACAAAGGATACTGATGTCCATACTGGTTTAAAATGAGTCAGATAGTGTACCGGAGACTTTTACAGATCTTTTTAAGAAGCACAACAAACAGTGGACTTAAGGACTGTGACCCTTTACAGTAGCGTGAACAAGGACAGCCAGGATTCGAACTCCCAACCTTTGGTCCACAGGCATGGCTGCTAACCACTGGAACACAGGAAAATGTGTGCATACTTTCTGTGGCAATTTACAAGCTGATGATACATGGTTTGGGGTACAAGGACACGCAGGCATGCGTGTGTCTGACTGTGCATCCCTGAACATGGTTTGTATTAGCGCAGACCTTGGGTAACACGTGATGGAGACTTCAAAATTCACGGCACAGATATCCTCTGTGGGAATGTCCCTCTGTTGGAATGTCGTAGTTTTGATCACTGCATGCATGTTAATAATATTGGCATAAGGCTACACTAATTTAATCTGTTGGTTCTCGGCTTAGAAAATATGTTAAACTGGAAAACCATGAAAACAGAGCCTTGGTGCACTCAGTTGTAGAGTCTCAATCCCCATTATTGCAGCACCACATAATCGGAGTTAACATGTTGAAGACTTCAAAGTCAGCTGGTTTAGATGAAGTTGAGGTCTGTACTACTAGTGGGTGGCTGGGGTTGGATTTCCTTGGGGGATAGCTTGTGGTGCGCTTCCCTGGTGATCAGAAATGGACTTGGAGATTCAGCTCAGTTTGAGTTCCCAATAGGGAAGACACCAGAGTTACACTTAAACCAAATGTCTCTTGCTGAGAAAAAAAAAATCGTAAGAAAACCATCAATGAAGTTCATTTGATTTCATTTTGAAATTTTTGACAACTCTTCAACTTAAAAGTTAAAGTTGTAAATTGTGAAGATATTTTTTAATCTTACTTAAAAGTTTATTTATTAAGATATTAGGCCTTTTGAAGGAAATGTTAAGTACCAGTTGCGTCCATATCATTACATCTATGTATGAGAAACTACACAGAAATTTTGTTTAACCTTTTTTAAAACTTTCAGTAGCTGTTGCCCAGCACTTTAAGTTCATCTTGCCCTAAGTGTGAGATATTGCCCCCTGTATCCCACTGGATTAGAAAACGTGCAGTCCGCTGCATTCCTCCATTCTATCATGTCATTGAAGGATTGCTCCATGGCATTCTGCATCCCTCCTTTACTGCTGCTTCTGGTGCTTCTTAGAGAATGCAACAGTTTTCTTCTTCTATTATTTATTATAAAACCCCGTACAGAGGACCATTGAAGTCTGCATGATCATGTCTTTGCAACTTTATTTTCTTCTGAACAATGCGTAGGAAAGGCAGAGAAAGGCAACTAGAGAGTATGTTTTGCTGCTGGTGATATGGTTTTGCATTTGTCCACCTTGTTCTATTACTTCTGTTGTTCTATTACCGGTATGTATTGTTTTGGGTGGCTGAGCTGTGGGTTTGTGTGTTTGACGGTTGACAGCACATGTGTTGAGAAGATTGACAGGCAGGAGGTCAAAGGTTTCAGAATCTGTCTAGATAAAGATGACAACATTTTATTGTCGTTGAAATCAGCAAACTCTTTGATTTGAGAGCATCTCAAAGTATGGCTTCTCTGCATAAGGTACCTGAAGTCTAAAAAAACAGTTTGGTTAACTACCATATATAGATTATTATTTCTGTCATCCTTGAAGACCACAGGTTACTTTGTAAGATAGTTCATGTATAGGTACAGGACCTGTACCTTTGCATGATGCAATGTTTAGGTCCACTGCACTATCAGGAACATGGCCAAACCCAAACAGATTTGGGCAGGAAGTTTACTTGAAGTATAATTGACTTTCCAGTCATCACGTAGCAAATTCAAAGTAGTTTTTGGCTAAGTATTTTGGCATTAAGCAGTTTTGAATATTCCTATCCCAACTGAAAGAAGTAGGATTGTTTTTATGATAGTGGAATGGGTTAACCCCCAAGGAGCCTTGGCAGGCCTGCGTAATTAAAGATATTATGTGCATGTTTATGTGAAATGGACTGTTTCTGTTGGCGAGACCACCGAATTAAACCCCGGGGAGGACATTAAATTGCCATTTGGGGGAAGTTAAGTCCTGTTTGAATAGGACACGCTCAGTGTTAATTTCTTTTTAATGTTTTTCATACAGACTTTGCGCTATTTTTATGAATCATTCGGGAGGAGGGCCTTTGATGGGGCCCTTTGTTGTCCGTCCTGCGTGCGGCAGATCGCCACTTCTGATTGGCCACCTGGGAAATGCTCCGGTCTGGCTGCAGATGATGTTTTTTTTTATAGCTTCTTTTATTTTAAGGATTATTCCAGGATTGTCCATAGGGCTGGAAATACTGGGCACTTTTGTGCACCCAAACATGTGTGTAATTAATTTTTGACTGCACCTATACATTGTGTTGGATTATGAAGGGTTACTTTTGTGCGCCCAAAATTCGAGCTGTGCACCTAATTTCTGACTGAGTGCACTAGTGCATCTATATGGATGTTTGTGTTTTGTTAGGTACTATTAGTATTACACACATGGTATACAGAATATTCTTGACTTTCAGCTTTCAGCAAAAAATAATGAAACATTTGTTGTATTACTTGTTAAAGATTTTCAAGTTGGCTATATATAGAGAATGTTGAGACAAGCTCTGACAAGAGGCAGTAAGGTTATTAATTAGATTTTGCTGAAATTCTATAACAGTTGTTGTTTACCCAATTTTTTTCTGTGCACCTATACACTTTCAGATCAGGTGCACCAGGGTACCTATTCCCCAAAATGAGTTTGGAGCCCTGATTCTGGTCTGACTCTTTATTCTAAGGATCATTCCAGGACCGTCCATCATGTCGTAAACCAATCCACTCCATCTCGGAGAATTAATAAGATAGAGATGGGCGAACAAAAGAGATGAAGAAACAATCATCACATCTTGTCCTCCAAGGACCGTCCCTCATCGATTTCCTTGTCAAAGGCATTCTTTTAATTTCCCTGATACTTAACATACGAGCACATTTTCATTAAGGTGTATAAAATTCAGTCAATTCAGACAAATTTAAAATGGGAAAAACAGAAACAAACTCCTTTACTTAACCTTTAGGATGCTGAAGACTAAATAGTATAGTATTCGTTTGGCTACCAGCTGTATATTGGTTATGGGGTTAAGCATAATTGTTTCAGAAACTACAATATGAGGAAGCAGTTAGCCATGTTAGCTGAGCCTGATAGAACTCAAGATGGTAATTGAATACACAACTTTTTTAGCCATGGAACCTGTGCTTTATGGCAATACATGTATAATGCTTTATTGATTGATTGATTGAATTTCTTCATTTCAGGTACAATGACCAATAGGAACATAATACATAGTATATGCCTACGAATATACTAAACATATAACTTCAACAGAATGTATACATTTCTAAAAAGTTTTAGTATAGTGGCAGTCTGAGTTAAAAATGCATTTTAGATCTCTATTATGAATCACAGTACTTTTCTACTCCAAATATCAAATGTATCTCTCAGTTGACACTTTTTTTGTTTTATTTGAACCTTGCAGGTGATCAGAACAACTATGGGAGCTACCCGTACGGAAACCATGGGAACCAGTATGGAGGCACATCCTCATGCAGATATAACCCAAGAGAGGTATGACACCTTCATGTGTGTGTGCACAGTCCAACCTATGAACTGTGACCAGTTAACGTACTGTAGACTGTCCAAGCATTACCCAATTTACAGACAATATAAAGGAGGAAGAATATCAAGAGAAACTGAGTTCCTAAAGTCAAACTAGACCCCCAAACAAGTGTCATGCCCAGTCTCTTGGATATGGTCAAATCTTCAAGAAACAAAATCTTTCTGACACTAACCAGACCATTAAAACTTTGGAGATGAGAAAGTCCTGCCGACAAAACGTCAGAGGTTGAGAAGAATCGCTGCGGTACCCACGGTTCAATGAGGGAATGCCTGCTGGCTGTCTTGTGTAGTTTTATAGGCGGAGGCACAGACCAAAAGAAATGGTCTCATTAGACCTGTGCCTGGAACACCTGTCGTAATTGGATTGTTACAAGATTAGGCCGCGCCAAGTAAATTTTATGGATGACCTCGGTGCACGCATTGATATTCACCATATTCAAGAAAAAACAAGAGATGAGCAACATGATAAGAAAATGCCAAAAATGGAAAAATAATTGTCATGTGGTAACCTTCTGTGTACTTTTAGATTAGTAACACTTGTGAGGTAGCCATGAGTGTAATTGTAAAAGTGAAACTAGTTAGTTGTAGAAGCACTATTGCGGTAGCCTTTACTCTTGAGTGTAGTTGCCAACTTGGTACTAGGCTACCACACTAGTGTCATCTGCACTTCTTGCATATAGGAATTATTTGATTTCTTGGTTCTTGCAATTCTTAAAGGAAGATATGGGAGTGACCAGGCTAAGAAAGAATGTCTGGCCTCCTGGGAGCTGGTATAATCAGAAATCCCTCCTCTTGTCCAGCTATGATAGCAATTCATAACAACTGCACTTGGGCTACCGGGCTTTAAACTTGCCCTTTTGAGGAAGCCTGTCAGACATAATAAAACAAGCACACAAGATTGCACATCCCTAATCATGCAGGCTTCAGTACTCTCCCAGCAGAGGTTAGGCCTGTTTTCGGGTGTTTTTATAAGCTTTTTTCAACGTTTGTCTGGCTTTATATTTTGTCGGCTTTTCTTTTAGTACAATGGATGGAAAGCCCAACAAAACCTTTAAAAAAGCTGGGGGAAAAAACGTCTGAAAACAAGCCTAACCTCTGATCAGAGAGTATGCTCCAGAGCTGCCTTTTCCCCCACGCGGTGAAGATGGTAGTTCTTGCGCCGTATGGTCATACCTCCAGGCAATGTAACACTCCAGAGAGGCAATTAAAGTTTAAACGCTGGTAATTGGAGTGACTTTGGGATAATTAATCTTTCCTGCTGGCAGCAGAGGTGGTGATGGAGGTAACTACCTTGCAGCACTACACAGATCATTTTCTGCATCATTTCACCCCTGGCTTGTTATACTGTTGTTACACTATCAAAAGAGCCTTCTTCAACCCAGAATGATTGTCAGTTCCCATTGCTGGCCTGCTGTAACGAGGAGAGAAACAGCATAGATTTCCAGTTAGAGTTCCGTCTTTCCACACCTAGCAGCAATTTCCCTGTCAATCAGCCCACTAAACAGCTTTCAGTGTACGTAACCGGGTAGATGATCGGGGTAATTGAGTAATTGTGGATTGCCGCAGCTTGTCTCTTGTTGTTTTCATGCTAAATGGATCAAAGCCTTGAATAAAAGTGAAGTTCGTCATGCTGAAATAACTGGAGACAAGACACCTAACTAGTACCCAATTCTCAGTATGTATGAGGCTCTTGCTTCTTCTTAACAAGCATTCTGCTACATGCAGACTCCAGATTTTGACTTAGGAAAGTGTTGCCCACAGCATGCCATATAGCCATATTCAATCTGAAGTATATCTTTGAACATTTGCTTGGTAGATGTACATGCCACCTACATGTACCCTCACCCAAGCATCATCTAGTGATGAATATTGGATTTTACAGTAAAGAATATCTCCAAAGGCTGCAGCTGGTTACGTCAACTCTCACAAACCCACTTTGGTACCCTAGAGTCTAACACAGTCACTTTAAAATGGTGAATTTAAAAAGCTGTACTAATGCAGCATCAGTAATCCCAAGGTATGCACTCTTGAGATATTCTTGAGAAGGTCTCGATAACACCGTTTTAATGTGGTTTTAGAGTACCCAGCGGAGTTACAGAAGTTGACATTAAATGCTTTTATACATTTAAGCATGTTTTACTACAATGAAAAAAAACAACAGCAACTAGTATCTTCCTCCAAAATGTTCAGAGCGTAATTTGCTCAGTGGTACTAGTCTAAGCAGTAATAGTAATAGCATACAATAATGATCCAATATTGTCATTTTCTTCAAAATTTTCAGAATGTAATTGTCCCAGTAGTAAACCAGCCCCCTACTTTACATTTCCTAATGGAACAGTCCTCTCGGAGGAGTCATCTCATGTAATCTGTTCAGTGATGAGACACGCAGCAATAAACGTGATACACCAGGGGCTGACAATCTAACTAATGAAGGCCTCTGTAATTAGGCAATTAGCAGGAAGGAGACAGATAGACCAGGCTGTTAAACAATGTGTGTTTGTGAGGAAAGTTTGTTTGGAGGTGTTCTATGTCGATAGACTTTTTCTACAGCATGGTGCAAAAGAAAATCATCTTCATTTCTTTAAAAAGTATTATATTCCATTCATGGAAAAAGAGCACACTCTTTTCTGTTTTTTTAGTACCAATACTAAGTGTACTGTGAGTGTCATGGTCAGTTAGGCAACCCTGCCAATAGCATATACACATTTTGTATGGCTTCCCATACATATGCAGATTTGCTTGACACTAAGATGATAAGGATACACTGTAACTTGTATTGTGTCCGAGTGACAAAAGAATACAAGGTGCTAACAGTTTATAGCACATGCAACAGAGTTACCCACAGAGTCAATTTACAATTAGAAAGCTGTTTATTAATCGTCAATCAAGGTCTGTATCAAAAGCCTTGAATCTACATTAGATAATACATTGCAAAGGGATTGTTTCTTTCTTGCATGTTGTTCTTGAGAATAACACCAAACGTCAGTTGATCTAACTTATTTGCTTGTTTGTTTGTTTGCTTGTTTATCAGGGAGGGAACATGGCTGATCCCAACAGGAGAGATTGTATGGAGGAGTCAGGCAGTACGGAAGACCCGGCCTCCATGAACTTCTGCACAGCCAGGGAACAACTGGTAAGACACGGCTCACTTAAACCACAAGACAGCAAAGATTTCACACTTAAGAGAAGTATGCAACTCTTGCCTCCCTGAATTCTCCAATGATTCCTGCTGGCCCTTGCCTGGTTCAGAGACCTTCACATTTACCCTGTTTCCTGTGTCTAACCTTTTACATCCTGTCATTCTACCTGTCAATCTTCTCCCACTCACATACTGTCAACTTACCCTGTCACCACAAGCATACTCACAACCCCACAATCCACCCAATTAATCATATTCAAATTTTCAAAATATAAATTATTAGTGTGTAATTTTTTTGCCCCTCCTCCTTTTTTAAGCAAGAAACTACAGGTTTATTTAGAGGGTGACTCATTTGAAGGCTGACAGCAGATATACTACCAGAATGGCTATCATATCAAATGTATACCACATATATTTGTTGTACTTGTCAAAATCACAAGAATTTGCCCACCCAGATGGGCCTATACCAAGGTATGTGAAATTTTGGGCCCTGGCCCATGGACTATTGAAGCTGGAGCAAGTTGCTGTGATTACATTTACAATTTGTTTCAATGCCATGCTATCACAGACAAATGTCATCACAGATTTTTACTTGGAATACAGTCATGTTTACATGTGTATGTATAGCAAAATTGAGTCACATTTAGTTACCTTAGAACTACTATGCTTTTAAATATGTTAATCCATACAAGTATATATACATAAATGCCAAGCCTACAAGTATCTACAAATGTCATGTTAATGTTAAGGAACCCAAGCAGTTATCTGGAGTGATCTACTAGGAGTCAACATGTCTAGCATGACTTTTAAGAAGCATTTACTGTAACACAAGAGATAATCCATGCTTAAGTCCTATAGCCTTCAAACATTTTCCCTAGATTTGAGCAAAACATACTAAATCCAACATAAATGTATATCACCCGTCCATGATTGAGACGTCCTTCAATACTTTATGGGCAATAAAATTATGGGGGGGAAAACAATTCCCTATCCTTCAAAGGACCAGGGTTTTTCACAAAGGACATTTAGGTATTGGGATTTCAAAATCAGATAAAATAATACCCTGGGGCCTTAGGCAGGCTTTAGTAATGGCAAAGAAATAAAATGCAGGCTTTTGAATTCTGATTCAGGAGAAATACAGCTAAAAAAATTCCATAGATTTTACAGGGATAGATCAAGCTTGGAAAGCAAGTCTCTCTTATCTCCAGTGAGATATAGGCTCAGGGCAATAGCAAAGAAATAAAATGTAAGCTTTTATATTCTAATGCAGCGTAAAAGAATTACATTCAAGGTAGTTTTTACTGGGATAGATCAAGCTAGGAAGGCAAGTCTCAGATCCCCAGCGAGATTTATCGCTGACTCTTCAGTTCCTCTTTTATTGTTTGAGGAATTGGCGGGCTGGATCCGTTAATCACCACGAGATCACCCGCCCTGTCATGTCGACAAGCGGGGAAGTTTTGCGGATAAGGACTCGCGAGTCGCTGTGTGCCCTGCGGGGACAGCAGGGAGAGCCCAGGCCGCTGATATTCCGTCTGACTCAGCTGAAGAGATGGGGTGGGAGGGATGCTGGAGGGGAATCTGCCAGTGTGTGCAGGAAGAGTGGCAGTGACATGTGCTATGTATGAGATGGCTGTCGCTTGATTCCGCAGAGATAGGAGACTTCTGCATGGGGAGACATTTGTCAAGTGGTTAATTGTCTACTGAGGAAAAGTCTGGGAACATCTGAGGCAAGAAAAATCAACTTCAACAGTGTTTAACAAAAACTCAAATATTTGTACAGTGCTGTATTAACCAATATTCCACAATACATTTGTCCAGGAAACAGTGTTTGCTAAAAACTGAAATACTGTAGCAAGTATTAAACCAACATTCGACTAATTTCGAGAGCCCAAAAGACATATCTTAAGTATAAAAAGTAACATTGTGTGTTAGTGAAGTCAAACATTCCTGTGCCCCTTGTCTTAAGTCTTAGAAAAGATAACTTAGTCTACATGTACTTCCGCTGCACCAGAACTAAAAATGCTACAAAAAGTTGCAGACTTACAGTGTATTCTTGCCGTCCCTTTTTATGCTCGCTGTTGGCTGCTGCTGTCCCAGAAATAGACCTAGCTTACCTGATTAGATTGCTTTGATATATTCCACATCCTGTGTGCACTGCCTCCAGGCTGCCCACACACTCACATGCTTCAGACAAGCAAACTGCACACAATTAGGAAGACTTGCACTTTGCAACCAGCGGCAGAAACCACCATTACACAGCCAGGTCAGGAGCACTTCTAATTGGGAGGGAGAGATAAACAAGCTCTCCCAGGGCTTAACGTCAAGTTGATTTGTAAGGCAAAGAACTTGAAAGGATTCTGTCGCACTACATGTGCTTATAAAGAAGATGAAGTCCACTTTATTGTAGGTTGTAGTTTATATAGTAACTATTAGTAGGGATAGACATCTTTTTTTTAGTTGTGTTGTAGGAAAGTCTCCTCATTTTAGATGTATAAGTTAGTTCATATTTCTTACTAGTACATATATATATGCATTATTTGACAAGTCTATGTTAACATCAAACCCATGTCAACCTATATATTCAAAATCATTGAGAGACCAGAAGAGGCCAAAAATATGTATCAGAATTCTTGTCAATATAATGTACTTCACTACCTCTTCAAATTCTGTATTTGTATCCCAGCACTTAGCCCCATAGGGCATGAATTTACAATAAAGGCTACCTATCTATAAATTCTCCATACAAAAATTTTTAGAAAAATTGCCTAGGTGCAAATGTCAGTACCAACACAGTTGCCATGCAAGGTTTTAAATACTACCAGTAATTGATATCCGGAGATCTTTGGTTTGGTTTAAAATGTCATCCCTTACTTCAAAAATAATTCTGCTTAACCAACAGTCGGTAAGCACCTGTAATTTTTAAGAGGAACCCAACTTTTAGACTAAAACTGTGTGTTCTGGGTGCATTAGAACATGGCATGGATTGAATTGAAAATTATGAGAATTTTTTTTTTCCTTCTTGAAGTCCATCTTGCTTACAATTATGATTTCGTATATTTATCTACAAGTTATGGTTTGAGGAAAATCCAAGTGTTCGTCTACTGATATGTTTTTTTAGTCAAAGTCGTTCTTGGGAAAAATGTTTGGAAAGGACTTTTATTGGCATGCCAATAGTGTTGAAGGCACACTTGAAGCCTTTTGCACTTTTCTTGTAGGATTTAAAAATGTCAGGTGCCCGGGGAATCCATCACACTTATTGTTAAAACTTCTCTATGGAAGACCCACTGTGTTCATCACCCGCGGGAATAAAGTCCATAAAATGTCGCTATCCCCAGCGTCGTGCCTCCGATAACAGCGACCAGATAATGCATCCGACAGCCCAGTAAGGTTAACCGTGCTAGCCTTTTATTATTGCTATAATCACTTGTATAATTCAGGGTGCCCCTGCTGGATTCCCTTGGCATGCAGGTACTCAAGTTGTGGGTTGCGCAGCTGAAGTGGCCAGTACTTTTGAACTTCGACGTAGGTGATTTTTCAAGTGGTTCTGTTGCACGGAGCATGTGTGCTCACTTCAATTAATGATGCCTCTAAAGAAACTGACACTGTAGAATGTAGGGTCTGCAGGATTTAAACCCCCAGTATTACATGTACCTGGTTGTTTATTCCAGCACATGTATGTAGTAGCATGCAGTCCAGGGGTAAGTGACCCTGCCTCTGGACTTAGAGGTTGTGAGTTTGAATCCTTTTGTCACTCACTCGAGTGCATTTGCATACTGTTGGAAAGAGTCACAGTTCTTAGGATGGTCCACTGTGGTACCTGTCGAAAAGAGCAAGGGTAATTTCACCGTACAATGAATCTGTATTCGGTACATTTTTTCTTTAGTCTGTGTTTCTTTCTCGACCATTGGAAGAGTAGACAACTGCTCATTGGGTTCCTTTACTAGTAGCTAAACCAGTTTGAGTTCACTCTCACAGAATCATAGAGGTATAAACATTCAGCTGCACCCATATCAAAAGTGTCTTGCAATTTGCTCACCATGCAAAACACTTACAGCATCAGGTTTATGAGCAGCCCATCTACTCCAGTCCATTTACTGTTGTCCCCTCAAGGATGTAATTTGCTGGCTCTTTCACAGTCCCACTGGTGTATGTATGGAAAAACAAAAGTTCCCATAAAGGGATCGGGGTAAGCTCTGTTCTTCCAAGGTTATACTACATGTATTCTCCTGATTAGGGAGTTGGAAGTTTGTGCTGATTGCACACACACATACTGTATACACATTGGCAGGGGACAGTCATGTGTTTTGGTTTCATTTTTATAAGCAGTAACATTATAAAAAGTGATAGAAAAGGATAATTTAGCCAAACCCCTCCCCACCAAAAAAAAAGCACACGAGTAGGCCACTAGGCAGCCAAACAAAAAGAATTTGAAGTAATGTCATTGAAAAGTATGGTCCTTACCAGTTCTGGTTGAGGCATATTTGAGATATTGTCCCACTGAAAAGTGCATGGGTTGTGACATTGTGAATGTATTATTAGTAACATAATTTTTCTTTCCCAAAAAGTGCTATTTTACTAACTCTCCTTCTTCTTTCCCTACAGGCAATCAACAACCAAAAAAAGTATGGGCGCTCAAAGATGCCCACACCGACTGCGTCTTCCTACGGAGCTGTGAAGAAATCCTTGGGTGCACGGCCCAGAGGGCCTTCTAGCAAATTTGTGCCACCTGTGCTGAACAAGGAGGATTCCAGCGATGATGGGTGGGTGATGTGTTGATGGCCGGAGTAATAGTACTCTCTGGGTTTGTCTTTGTTTTTTTGACAAGTTGATCACCAAGGTGACAATAAATGGCCTGTCCTTGGTGCTGCTTCCTGTCTTCGGCAGCAAGCGATACGCGGGGAAAGTCCTCGGTAGGCACGGAAAGACGCTGACGGTTCGGTAACGACAACTGCTGACCTGGGATGGGAGTGTTCGGAGCTCTCGGTG